ATGTTAAGTCTATGACATAGAAATAACATGGGTAGTGCAAGTCTATGACATAGGGATAACATGGGTAGTGCTAAGTCTATGACATAGGGATAACATGAGTAATGCTAAGTCTATGGCAATGCTAATCCTATGGACAATGTTAAGTCTATGGCATAGGAATAACATGGGTAGTGCTAAGTCTATGACATAGGGATAACATGGGTAATGTTAAGTCTATGGGCAATGCTAAGTCTATGGACAATGCTAATCCTATGGACTCTTATTGAATGTGTAGATAATGCTAATCTATTCTTTGAGAATCACCCGAATAGTGGTTAGCGTATAGCATCGCTGTGTGATCCTTGTTTTAGTTTTATTTACTGGAAATATAGTAAATATTGTTACATAATGTACGCAAAAAAACAATTAAAATGTCAAAGTTTGTTGTTTTATCACTGTTTGCCTTAAGTATACAGATATAAATTAAGGCACAGAAGTTCGTCCATCAACTTGTTTGCTATATTTTATCACAAAAAGTATTAATAAATATCACAAAAAATAATATTATGTCATAATTAATGTCATTTTAAAAGATATTTAACACTAACTGTACAAATATTTTGGAAACTAATAGATTAAAATTAAATACATACCGTACATGTGCAAATTAGCTGATTAATGTTTTTCCTATACCATTCTTAAGCTAGGTGCTTTTTAAATAGTTTTTAACTACTATTCAGGTATGAATAATGTGGTTTATAGGATTGTTCGGCTACCCCTCCCCGATCCCCCCACCCTATGGGATTTAACATGAAATTACAGCTTAAGTCTATGGCTATACTTTAACATGGGTAATGGTAATTCTATGGAGCTTTTCCCATAGACTTAACATGGGCTAATGTTATCCTATGGCTAATGTTAATCCTATGGGAGATTATTTCCTATGGGAAAGCTAAATATGAAGGGAAAGGGTAGTTTTTCTTTATGTTATTTTTATGGGACTAATGTTAAATCTATGGGAGAATGTTTTAACATGGGTTTCTATGGGATTACAGCTTAAGTCTACGGCATAAGACATGGATAATGCTAAGTCTATGGGTAATGTTAAATCTATGTGACTAATGCTAATAATATAGACAATGCTTAGTCTATGGTTTTCATAGGTACTAATTCTATTGAATTCTATTAAATCTGTAGATGTAGATAATGCTAATAAATTCTTTGAACACACGAATTGTGGTTAACGTATAGAATGGGAAATCTTAGTATTAATGGAACGGATATTTAGGTTATTTTCACATTTGTGTTAAACTCCCTTCTGTTGACTACAGGGAGGTCTTTATAAAGCGAAAAACGCGATACCATTATATAATTTCCAGCGAAGATTTCGTAAAAATTTAAAATTTACAAAATCATCTACTTTAAGATGGGATGAGAAAATGTACTTTTTGCCTTTAGTTACTATGAATGTAATAACTTATTACTAATAACTATCTTAGTGTAGTAACTAATAACGTATTGATTTTGAAAATTCACTTGGTAGATTTTAATTGAGTGGGCATTTATGCGCTCCAACCCTCTCAGTGCACAAGAACCAGGGGTTTAACAAAAATATGTCATCAATACTAAGATTTCCCAATTAAACAACTATATAACACAATTATAAACATTAGATCATTTCAGCGTATCATCAATCAATAAGTACAGGTCTATGGCATAAACTATGCCATTAATTTAAAGCTGGCATTCACTTTATGCCAATATTCCTAATGTTTCTAATATTCGCTTGACTTTACAATTAAAGGTTTGATTAAATTTATTTCAAAATATTCAATAATTAGCAGACAAATGAAGGTTAAGCTCCAAAGTAGAGTCGATTACACAATTAGGGAAATGCCTGTTAAACGTAAAATCATGAAAGATTACGAAATATGGATTCTCTACAAGTAATTACAAAATATTTATTTCTTCAATAAACAAGGCGCACACAGCAATGTTATATGTTAACCACAATTCGGATCATGCTCAAAGAATAGATTCGCATTATCAATATCCTATGGAAGCCTCCCCATGTTAAAGTATAGACTTACTATAAGCCACATTCTTCATGTATGAATTGTAGTTAAAAATGTAAAATCAATATATTTTCTGAAATATAATTTTGTCATATAATTGATTTGTCAATCATATGAAAAACAAATACCGTAATTCTAATGTTTATGATTGCAATATACATGACATACACGTATTGTTAAGAATGTTAAAAAGTATTTAAATGTCATTTATTATAATAATAATAAACTAATAATAAATGTAAGAAAGCTATGCATAAAATGCCAAAACTTATGGAATAGTGGAGTATTAAACTGTATGTAAACTTTAAATACCAAATGGCAATGAATGAGTGGAAAAGACGCAAAAAGCATCGAAAATAGATATTGTTTTGATCGACAAATGCTTTTTAAATATACGCTCAATAAATATGAATGAATAATATGGCAAATAATAACACTAAATAAACTGATGGACTGAATATATTTTGAAATGAATTGTGGCCTCAAATGTGGGAATCGGCTATAAATATGTCACAACTAATCTGATTAGACTTTAATGTCTAAAACTTTAAAGCAATTCAATTGAATCACATTTGTTGTACTCACTCTTGATTCGCACTCTATCTTAACAAACCATAGACTAGATTGTTGTTAATTCATATCATGTTATAAAGTACTGTATTGTAAGTGAAAATTATCACTTCATTGCAGACTTAATACAGTATATGAATTCAATTAACAGTAATGTAAATTGAAGCGAGACTTCAAACTTTCCTGTAATTCCACCAACTTGCATTATTTTTAAATGTACTGTAGATTCCTATATTGTAGTCAACGATATGTTGTATTTATTTTTAGTTTTTATGTACTATTTTATTAGCATTTTATTTAAAATGTACTGTATAACAAATGAGAAAAGCATTACATTGGTTGCATATTTTATTTTAGTAATGTTAAAAGTAATGTTAGTATCAGAATATTCACATATTCACATAGTTATGTGCAATTTAAAAGCAATTTATTTTAATTATAATTAATCCCATAATAATTAGTGTTTTGAGTGATATTCAAATGAATAACTACTTAATACTATGTTTGTTATCTTATAAGTGAGTGAAAAGCTAAAAGAGCATTGAATTTCACAGTTTCACCAAAACTAGTGAACGAATATTGAGTTTCAAACAAAATAAATGCATTTGAAATGCACTCAACTTTAAGGAGTGTTTCAATGACTGTCTATTTTGTGGCCGACCTTTAAGTGAACACAAGTCTCACAAGAAATTCTCGTCTCTTATCAGATGAAAGCAAATACAATGTATTAATAGTGTATCAGTGAATGGGACCCAACATTATATGCCATTTTCACTGTTTCTTTAGTGTACAGTATTTTGAGCCATAATGAGAGGCCCCTCACAAACAGACGGGACAGACAGTTGTCGCACAACACATGGCAACCAAATGAGATGAATTAGTCTTTGTTTTTACTTCTTTACAATCCCTATACTGTACTGAAAGTTAGGCAAAACTGTTTGTATTGCATAGCGATTGCATCAGACATGTTATAACATGTTATTTAGGGTTTGATTTGATATGAAATATAATTAAAGTTTGTTAAGAGTTAAGGCATTTGTTGATTGCATAAGAAAGGACTCGACAAACGATATTGTATTCGCAATATTTTCGTAGTGTTATGCAATACTGACTGTAATCGATAAGCAGCACTACTGAGCAGTGGTGTGAGTAGCCAGACATATGAGTGATAAGCAGATTCAATGCACTGTCAATGCTAGCGCATAACACTACGAAAATATTGCGAATACAATAGACAAAAAGTATTAGATTAGAAAAAGCTGTAACTGTTTGTCGATTTGATTGAAGTATTGGTCCAATAGTTGTGCAGCAGTTGTAGTCACATGTGAGGACACCAGACGTACAGCACTGGTGTACAGCACTGTATGCCTGTGTGAGCCTAAGCCCAGCCTAAGCCCATCGCAAACACGACAATCACTCTCATTATACTGTAGTTGCGTTGAGTGCTGTTGTATTACATCATCCCAACACTCATTCCCAACACTGCTCTCACAGTTTGTCCTTCAAAGTCATTGAGCTTTCATTTGGACCACAATTACTGTACAATTAATACACGTTTAGTCCGAAGTGTCGGCGCTATAGACGGCTATAGCAGTGAATGTGTGAGAGATAGCAGTGATAGCTATAGAGAGAGTGTTTCGGTTGTATTGATTCGAAACGTGTTTCAATGCATTCGGCGTTCATTTCGTAATCACAAACTCTGCCAAACATTTCACACATTGTCACCAAAAACACCACTAATTACACACATTTGCACTTCTCTTCACAACAAGAGCTAATCCATTGAGTAGTCATGACTTTGGAGGACAACGAGAGCGAAGACATGACGGACTCCGCGGCGAACGCGACCGCCGACGACGAGACGGCGAAGTCGGCCAACACTAGTGCGGACCAGGAGTTCATTTTCATCCACGACACCGGATTCAATGTCCACATACAGTGTCCCGCTTTGGATCCATTCGAAGTACAGGTATTACACGACCCAAGCATGTCATGCATGCCATCCTCTTAGTCCTATAACTCATTGGCTGACCTGAAGGTGAGTGCCATGGAATTGGTTCAGGAGATACACCACCTGCTGATGGACAGGGAGGACACGTGTCACCGGACCTGCTTCTCGCTACAGATGGATGGCATGACTTTAGATAACTTCACAGAACTGAAGAATATTGAAGGTCTGAAAGAGGGTTCGGTTATCAAAGTAGTGGAAGAGCCGTATACTGTCCGCGAGGCCCGCATCCACTTAAGACATGTCCGCGATTTGCTCAAGTCATTGGATCCGTCGGATGCATACAATGGCATTGATTTGAATTCGCTTTCGTTTGTCAACACTATCTCTCAATCAGACATTTCGGGTCTGTTTTAAACTAAATTATATTTCCAATAATTGATTAGACATGTGATGCTTACGTCCTCTTCAGACCATTATTTGAACTAATTTTTGAATTGAAATTTGATTTATAGAGAAGAAGAGAGTGCAGAGAGCGGATTCAGTGGACTGTACGCCACCCGACTATATACTCCCCGGAAGTAAAGACAGACAATTACTTCCATTACAGCCACAAAGCAAAGAGCAGAAAGTAATGAATAAATGGTGCCATTGATTGATGAGATAGTGATTATATTGCATATATTGTTTTTAGGGTCCAATTGCTCTAAAGGTGATGACCTCCAGTGGTTGGAACCCTCCGCCCGGCACTCGCAAACTTCACGGAGACTTAATGTACTTATATGTGATCACAATTGAGGACAAACGTTATCACATAACCTCTTCTACGAGAGGTTTTTTCGTCAATGAATCCACTGAAGAGGAATTCAACCCAAAGCCGGCCAATCCTAAAGTTGTCTACCATTCGCTCATTGATCTTCTCAATCAAATCAGTCCCACATTTAAACGCAACTTCTCTTCAATTCAACGCAAACGACATCAAAGACATCCATTTGAAAGGGTTGCCACTCCTTATCAGATGTACTCATGGACTGCACCACATCTCGATCACACCATTGACTCCATTAGAGCCGAAGATGCCTTCTCTTCAAAGTTGGGATACGAAGAGCACATTCCCGGACAGACCAGAGACTGGAATGAAGAACTCCAGACCACACGAGAGCTGAAACGCAAGACACTTCCCGAGAGACTGCTTAGAGAGCGGGCGATATTCAAAGTGCACAGCGATTTCGTGGCGGCCGCTTCTCGAGGCGCCGTCGCTGTGATTGACGGCAATGTTATTGCTATAAATCCGGGCGAAGAGACGAAAATGCAAATGTTTATATGGAATAACATATTCTTCAGTTTGGGGTTTGATGTGCGCGACCACTACAAAGAGCTCGGCGGCGATGCGGCCGCCTTTGCCGCCCCCACTAACGACCTCCAAGGGGTGAAGGCCTACAGTGCCATCGATGTCGAGGGACTCTACACTTTGGGCACTGCAGTCATCGATTACAAAGGATATCGAGTAACCGCTCAAAGCATAATACCTGGTATTCTAGAGCGAGAACAGGAACAGTCGGTCGTCTACGGGTCCGTCGACTTCGGCAAAACAGTTGTCACTCATTCAAAGTATTTAGAGCTTCTGAACCGCGCGGCACAAGTCCTCAAAATACTTCCCCATAAAGTGGTGAATGAAAACGGAGAGGAGATTGAAATCTGCTCTTCAGTTGAGTGCAAAGGAATCATAGGAAACGATGGCAGACATTACATTCTGGATCTGTTGCGCACATTCCCGCCCGACTCGAACTTCTTGATTGTGGATGACTTGGAGCTGAGCAAAGAGGTGCAGTCTATGGGCTTTCCTCGCCATCACAAACACAAGTTGTGTTGTCTTCGGCAGGAATTGGTGGACGCATTCTTCGAGAGCCGTTACTTAATGTTTATTAAATTAGCGGCTTTTCATTTGCAACAAAAAGGACTCAGAAATCTAAGGGAACAGGAAATCAAATTCAAAGCCATTGAAAACAATGACATTGAAATGATTGACAGCGAGTCTAAAGGCGTGATTAACGACGAGTACAAAGAAAATCAAAATCCAATACAAATGAATGAAAACGAGGACAAGAGTGAAGAAGAGGCTGAGAATTACAAGAAGATTGTGGAGTCGTTCACAACAGGAGAGAAGTCTGATATCGACAGCACTAAAGAGATCGTCCGAAAAGCAGCTCAATCTGTGGGATCTCTGAAAGACAACGAGTTTGATATTCGTTTCAATCCCGATGTCTTCTCTCCAGGAGTGACTCATTTGGATCCGTCGGGAGAGTCAGTCAAAAAGCAAACACAGCTCGTGAAAGATGCGGCAGAATTTCTACTCACTGTTCAGATTCCGGCTTTCATTAGGGATTCATTAGATCACACGACCACTCCTTTTGATGGACTCACTCTGACTGAAGCGCTTCACAGCCGAGGAATTAATATGAGATATTTGGGGAAAATTGCCCAATCATTGGTCTCTCATAAACCCTTGGAATATCTTCACGTAATTAACGCTATTTTTGCCATTGTTTTGAGTGAAATTATATTTTGTTGTATTTTGCAGAGTATTGTCGTGAGTGAACTGATCTGCCGCTCAGCCAAACACATGTTTACAAACTATATTCAAGGCATCGAAATGATGAGTCTCTCGACAGCCATTAGTCATTTCCTGAACTGCTTCCTGTCTTCGTGTCAAACACTTGCGCAGCCGTCGGCCACCGATGAGCTTCAGTTCAGACAATCGCGGCGGAAGAATAAACGCAAGACTCGTCAGAATCTGATCAGCTCTCAAGACAACAACGATTGGGTAAACCTTTCGCAGAAGTCCTTTTGGAATAATCTAAAGAATGAATTGGATTCATATTATGGTTGGAATTTGACCACAGATTCAATTGACAATTGTGTGGAAACGTATATTTTGCAGAAAATCTCAATTTTGCGCATATTTTGCATCCGAACTGGAATTCAGTTATTGCTTCGCGAATATAATTTTGATCACAAAACACGCGTTACGTTCACTGACGAAGACGTGCTAAACATGTTTCCAGTTGTGAAACACATCCATCCGCGCGCGTCCGACGCCTACAACTTCTACTCGACGGGTCAGCGCAAGATTCAGGACGGATACCTCAAAGAGGGCTATGAACTCATCAGTGAAGCCCTCAATCTATTGAACAATGTTTACGGCGCGATGCACTCAGAGATCGCTCAATGCCTCAGAATGTTGGCCCGACTTAACTATATTATGGGCGACCACTCGGAGGCCATTTCCTTCCAACAGAAAGCAGTACTAATGAGTGAGAAAGTGAATGGCATCGATCATCCCTACACTATCACTGAATACGTAAGTTATCTCAAATGAGTACATTTGTCAACTGCTTTAATGTGTGTTTACACACTCTTGTAGACTCATTTAGCGCTCTATTGTTTTGCGAGCTCTCAAGTGTCCACTTCATTGAAATTCTTATACCGCGCGCGTTATCTCTTGACTCTGATCTGCGGTGAAAATCATCCGGAAATGGCTATCCTTGACGTGAGTTGTGCTCAATTATAGACTTGAATGTATGGGTAGTTTAAATGAATGCCTTTGTTATATGTAGAGTAACATCGGTTTAATTCTTCATGCGGTCGGAGAATACGATCTATCGCTCCGTTTTCTGGAGAATGCATTGAAATTGAATTTACGATACTTTGGACTTAAAAGTCTGAAAGTGGCGGTGAGTTATCATTTGGTGGCCCGAACCCAGTCATGTATGGGTGACTTTCGAGGAGCACTTCAGTACGAAAAGGAAACCTTCTCTATATATAGACAACAGTTAGGCGAAGAACACGACAAAACAAAGGAGAGTTCGGAATGTTTGCGTCATTTGACACAACAGGCTGTTGTCCTCCAGAAGAAGATGAATGAGATCTACAAAGGAAACGCTACGGCTGTCATCCCTCCCATACAAATACAACCACCATCTGTGAGCTCAGTGCTCGATATGCTCAACATAATCAATGGCATACTCTTTGTCCAACTCAGGTCTCCATTTTGTCCCTATTTATTCAAAACTTAACTAAAAGTATGATTTGTTTGTTTGGAAACAGTCCTCAAGAAGTGGAGAATTTTAAGGGAGAGTTCGTGAACTCAAACTCCAAAGACATCGAAGAGTTTTCTTCTGAAAAGAGCGCTCAAACCAATGGTTTTGCAACGGAATCTAATTTTGTGAAAGAAAACAACGAAATTAACAAACAATCGGTCATTACTACTGAGGGATAATTTTAAGGCAAAATTATCGATAATTTAAGTAAAACTACAAAAATATATACAACGAAACATTTTAGCGAAACATAATTAGCAAATGAATTGTTTTTCTCACTATAGGTTTGCAATTTTAGGACATTATAATTAAATTATATAATTTAGTTTTATTCTATTTTTCAATTTAGTTAATACTATTAAAATATATATAATATAAATTGTTAAACACATACAATATATAAAAATTCACAAGCAATTAATATTTTGTCTATTTGACATTTTTACTGAAACACTATTTTGAGCATAATTTAAATAATTAGTGGTTTTTTTTGTTGATTTGCGGATTGTAAGTAATAATTACACCCTTTTAATGGATTTATTGTTCGGGTATTCCTGTACTTAAGAGAAGTATAGTTACAAATGCATTCAATTAGTGAAGTTTTATGCTATTTAGTGATTATTAGTTACTATTTTAGTTTAAGACAATATATATCTCATTAAATATTGTTATATAAAGAAGATAATCAGGAAATTATTAATTGATTTTTATTGATCAGTCATTTATAGATAAGATATATGTAGAAGCATTAGGTGCCAGTCCTTTGATGTTTTGATTTGAGCCTCATTTCAATGCTTTCACTCAAACAAATCATTAGCTCATTCTTTGCACCAAATATTTTTGTTTTGTTATTTAAAATATTTAGTATTTTAATGTTTATTAGTTATTACATAACTATAGGTTTGCCAAACGGTATATCAACTCAAATCTCTGCCATTAACTAACAAATCATTGTTAAGAATTAGTTTTTTTTAAATATTAGACAATTTATTACAATTATTAAATCAATTTTAAATTGGTTTGCGATTATCATTCAATGCATTTATTTGTAGCCAAAAATTATTATTAGATATATAATTATTTTATAATTTAATTTCATTTAATAAAATTAGTTTTTAATACAATAAAAAATGGATCATTTAATTATACAGTAAAGTATAATTTACAAGTTATTCATTATTAGGAATTGTATAAATTATACAGTATTATATGGATACCAAATACACAACATTATAATTGCAATTATATAGGAATCATGATTCATGATCAATTATGGCCCACTATATCGGCCAAATAGTGGCTTTTATTGATCCTCGATTATAAATGTATGCATAAGTAAAAGTATAAATATAATCATATTAGAGGACAACTCATCAGCATCTGGTCTGTGTATGTGTCTATGTTTTCGATCATTATTGCCAATAATTTATTGGTATTAAAATGCCATTAATTCTATGTGTGAATCTATTAACTCGAATGAAACACTTGATGAAACAAAAAGTGTAATGAAAAGCGGATTGCATTTGAGTGTAAATCACTCGTATGATGAAAGAAGAAGGGCTTCCCAGCATAAGTTGGTTACATAATTACATCAATTGAACAAATCTTTAATAATTAACTGTAAATCATTAGATAATTTTGTATTTGAAATGATGGGTAATTTGGGCAAAAGGTGGCGTTAATGATAACAGTAATTTTGATGTTAGTAAATTTTATACAATGCACTTCACAGCAAAAGATTTAGGAATTTTTTACCTGAAATTTTTTGAGAAGCAGAGCCAGAGTGTGTGTATTGACTGTAAAGCACAGCATAGGACAGGCATAGGACAGGTGCGTGCTATTGGCCTCTCCTCCCAATTGTGTGGCATTATTCACAGGAAATACTGCAAACTCCTCTTCTCTCCCCCTCAGCCCTCTCTTTCTCTCTCCCCTCTCCGGCGCTCTCTTTCAAAGGACTTGTGCTCTCAATTCATAAGTTGTTTTGCCTCACAAACAGTTATCGTTGCTCTCTCTCATCGCATAACATATGCCATCAAAATCTTGACCAACTTTTTAAACTTTTATATGTTTTGTGTTTTATATTTTGACAATACATATGTCTGTCGACTAAGTTCTCTCGCAAACGGATTGTAAATTCATTGCTTTACTTATTATAAGTTTTGTGAAATGTGGACAACTTTTAGCATCAATTGTATACTAATTATACTATAATTTGAAAGATAATCGAAGACACAAAAGCTTAAACGAAAGGTAAATATTTTTAATACTATTTATTTCACATACTTTTAAACCAAATGGTGACAACTATTATAGCTTATAATTTGTATTTCATAACATTATGGTAGGTTTGAATGCCTAAACAAACAAGAAATGATATTAAACTTTTAATTTATAAGTTATAAAACAATTCTCAAAACTTTGTGAAACATTTACACAAATAATAAGATCTTAATGAATGAGAAGTTTGTTTTGATTAAGTTTTTATGAATACCATTCAAAGGATATGAATATCACGTTATTATCTAATCATTTTGTGCTTATATTTCATTCATAACTCAATCTGTCTTTTTATCTTCTTTAGTGAACTATATTTTAATTATTATTTAAATTGCTTTTGAATCACAAACAAAATGCAATTCTTAAATCATTTATAAGTATTTTAATTGATCATGATTGTGTTAAACACTATATTTGGTTTTATTATTTTTAAACTATATCTTAAAGAATTAATTTTCAATTTATAAAGTATAGTGAATAGTGAATATTTGCATCAATTTGTGCACTAAAATGACATAAAATGTTTAAATAGAAAGGAAATGATTATAAAGACAATTGATAAGAAAAACTTCCTTAAATTGTTTCAAAGAATGTGTTAAAGTTCTAAAAGTTGAGGAAACTATTTATCAAATGTATATAAATATAAAATAATAGAAATCTATTCACATTTGATTTAAGTATTTGATATAAAATATAGTTTTTATGGTTGATTGAGATTTTGAAGTTTAATGTCATTACTGTATATAAATTTTTAACAAAACAAAATTTTAAATATTATTCAAAACTTGAAATCAATTTAAAACATATATTCATTTGTGGTTTCTTTTATAAGTTGTGACTTAATTTACTTTCCATTACAACGATTTTTTGGTTAATAATTATATACAATAAGTTTCGAGTCATTCAATTGTGAACACCTGAAGAGTGCAATCACTTAAAAGCCATTATTTCTTTGAATTTTGTTATCTCACGAAAATTGTATGAAATGTTGAATAAATTAATCGATTCATTCAAATTTTAATTATACAGTAATTATAACGTGAAACGTGTAAAATACTAACGTTTCCCCACATTTTGCATATTATTAGCACTAATTTTGCCAATTTTAACAAATAATCCCTTAATCCGTGTAAACCCCCGGATAATACTCAAAGCATTTGATATTTTAAGTTTAATAGTATTTGATTTGTTAAATAATTAATGATATGAGGTGGTTCGCATATTACGTTCGCACGTGGGGAAGGCCAAAGCGAACTTTC